TTCCTCTTTCTTTGTCAAACTAACAATAAAAACTACTTTAAAAAATGTAATAGCTTTCTATTATATTTTTTTATATTATTCAACCTTCTTTTAGGTTTTTAATCACTGTTTTTGCCTTGTCGCACACTCAGAGTTTTAAACTTCAACAATGAAAAACTTTTTTTAGAAGATTATTTATCTGGTATCTATTAATGTATCTTGATTATAAGCACTAGTGAAATCATTGAAATATTTAATTTTTGTTAATGTGAGACTATTATCATTATTATTTTTTCTACAAAATATAGCTGTCGCACAATATCACTGTCATTTCCACCACAATATTGTAATGTCGCTTTAAAAAGTTTGTGTGAAAGATTATTTAGGTGCTTTCTATGAAAATGAATAGTGCCATCTGAGAACATGTTCAAGATGGAGGGAATTTAAATTTTTATCAACAACACTTGAGGAAAAATCAATGTAAATATTGCTTTATAAGCAAATATATGTATTTTACTTCATTTCCAAACATGTACCTTCAACGGTGTTTTTAAAAAACACACACAAAAAAAAAAACACAACAAAATTAAGGTAAATAAAAGCGTTTTGTATACATAAAATGCTAGTATCAATTCAAAGCTAATCGGTGAAGCTATTTTTCATTTTTTCACAATAAACTGTTGAAATGTCATTTCCACCACTGTCATTTCCATTACCACACACATTTTAAAAGTGTTCAGTTTATTTATTTTCTAATAAGCTCTTAACCAAATTATTATATATTTTTCTCGATAACGTACAGAACAAATAACTGTTATACAATAACAATTACCCTAACCTGCCTAGTTAACCTAATTAACCTAGTTAAGCCTTTAAATGTCACTTTAAACTGTATAGAAGTTTCTTGAAAAATATCTAGTCAAATATTATTTACTGTCATTATGACAAAGATAAAATAAATCAATTATTAGAAATGAGTTGTTAAAACCATTGTGTTTAGAAATGTGTTGAGAAAATTTTCTCTCCAATAAATGGAAATTGGGGAAACAAGCGGTGCAATTATAAACAAGCGGTGTAATAATTCTGACAGCAACTGTATGCATGTGTGTGTATGTATATACTGTATATATATATATATACAATATATTTATGTATACAATATATATATATATATATATATATATATATATATATATTGTGTAAAGATTGGTTTACCTAGATACCTGTACAAAAATGATCTTAGACAATGTTTGACTGGCATGATTTATTTAATTTTGAAATAAGTTGTATATTGAGATGTGGTGGAAATGACATTTGTTTAGTTCACAATGGAAAAATGTCTCTCTTTTTATCTAAGTTTGTTCTCTTACAGATCTAGACAAATTGTTTAAACTTGTGAGGCTATGTTACGGTAATTTTGAATAGTTTTTTTACTCAACTTCACAAGACTAAAAGTGTCCGTAGTTGTAGAATGGCCCAGCAGCTATATTCCTTGTATATCTTAGTATTTAAATTCATAGTACAATAGACATCTATCCGTTTTACTTAATAAAAAAGTTAATTACTAATGTATTACAGTAGTAATAATGACTAGCAGCTGTGTCGTATTTAACAGAATTTTTTTTTTTTTTTTTACCACTAACTTAGCCTACGTTATATTACTCTGTACAGTTTGAACGTAACCCAGCGAGCTTTAGGACCCAGCCGCGCTCGTCTCCAGTTCTCCATGGCTTTGTATGTTTACAGTGAGAATTGTATGGCAGGAATTTTCTAACATCAAATATTTAAACATCATTTGCATCGATACAAAAGTCCCAATGGAGACAGGGATCCTGTGACACAGGTAAGCCACCAAGTAACATAGTCTGTTTCTAACGATGCTTTTATTCTACAGTACAGAATCACTCTTTGTAAAGCAAAATGACTGTAACGGCGGCGGCTAACGTACTTATGTGTCTCAGTTAGTTTGTTTTATTTTGCCGACTTAAGTGTTTGTTTAAATGCAACGCTGTCACGGCATAAACAAGCTTACTCACTCATTCACATCGATGAACTGTGTGGGCTGTTCTTCATCAACTTTAAGAGTTTTAAAAACTTTCGCAGCGCTCACAAAAAGTGCATAAATGAACTTCGCAAATATAAATAATGACGTCAAACGTCAGTTGTTCAGCTATATGTAACGTTAAACTTTATCTGTCGTCGAGTCGTTCCCTCTGGTAATTTTTCAAACGGATTTTCTGAAGTTAAGCCAGTTCTGTCGAGCATTCATTTCAAACTCGGACTTTAAGACGTTTGTTAGAAGTTTTTTTTTTTTAGGTTTCTTAAAATTTTCGTAATGACTTTCACATTTCTAACTAAGCTAGTGGTTTCAAGGTGCACTCAATGAAGGCCTTAATATTATACGTTGCTTCATATACATAGAAAGCATTTCCGTCGACATGATGCTTTTAAATACAGTAGGGGGTGACCTGATATTGGTGACTGTACTATTGACACGAATTTATATAGGGTAATCAATACATTATCGCAATATTGTGAACATTTTAGACATGCACTGTTTTCTAAAGAAATATTCCATATTTATTTAGATTTATTTAGATACATTTCAATACACACTTACAAAGTATACCTTTATCAAAATAATAAATTCATTTACCATTTATTTATTTGATCTAAATTTTTATTAATGCTCTTAAGTTTATAATGTTTGCACTCTTAATTGTTACCAACGTGTGTTTTTTGTTATGCTATTTGTTTTGCAGGAACGATTACATAAGCTAATAATATACACTTTGTGTAAATATTGCATTATTAATAATATATAATTATAGGGTACACCAGCACATACTATGATTGCAGCATAAATAGACAAGAGCGGAATGTATACTACTAACCAAAATATAGTAACGTTATATATTGTATATTTTCAAATCAGTGTGAAATTTTGTTTTCATTTTTGAAAAGTTTCATTCAAACAATTAGTCAAAAATGCAAACAAACAAGCAATACAAGCAATACATTTAGCACTCATTATTATATAAATTATTATAAATGAGAGGGAGCAGCACATACACGCAACAAAACACATTTAAGTAAATTTGCTCAAGATTTCAAAATGCTTCTCAGCATTTCTATGGCTTAATAATATTTTCCAGTGCTAAAAATCACAAAGATTTTACTGTTTAGAGTAACTAATGTAGCATCACAGTCAATGAGAGTGGAAAAATACATCAGACAGGGGTTCACTGGCGGATAATCTATTATTGACCGTGGTTAATGTAACACCCACCCCGTGGATGCTTCACTTTGTCACATGAATAGCTCGACAGAATGACTCACTTCCTCTTCTCCATCAAACTGAAGCTCTGGTGTCAAATACAGCCTTGACAAGTGATTTTTTTTTCTGGGTGCAGCCACAAGCTGCAGTGGTCCGCCACAGGCCTGCATTCATGCAGAAGTGCAGCTGTGGAATCAGACGCTGAGTGGTCCTTTGTTTATTATGATGAAACACAGCAGCCATGAGTCTTTTTTAACTTCTACAACACTACAACTAGATTAACATACGCAAACAGCCATCTATCTATCTATCTATCTATCTATCTATCTATCTATCTATCTATCTGTCTGTCTGTCTGTCTGTCTGTCTGTCTGTCTGTCTGTCTGTCTGTCTGTCTGTCTGTCCGTCCGTCCGTCCGTCCGTCCGTCCGTCCGTCCGTCCGTCTGCCCGCCCGCCCGCCTGCCTGACCGCCCGCCCGTCCGTCCGTCCGTCCGTTCCTCCCTCTGTCTGTCCGTCTATTTATCAATTGCTCAAAATGGATAGCTCATTTCTCAAAAGCAAGTATTGATGTCAATGAAAGTGTCTGTCATCAAGATGAAAAGTCCTGGCACCATTGTTTATAAACAAATGGCTTTGTCATGTTTTCATTTTTACAGTTTAATCTGTATTTTTTTTTCCAATGGAAAAAAAGTTTGGTGACACTTCCTGAAAATGCTCAAGATAGCATACTATCTGCACAGTCATTTTGAAAACTACAGTAAAGTTAGACACCGCTGCATTTAGTGAGGTATCTGAGTACAAGACACTGAATATGTATGTTTCATATTTTTACTGCATTTGCTCTTTGCCACTCTAATTTATTCACAGCATTGTGCAAAAGAATAAATACACCCTTATTTACAACAAACAGAAACTTCCTTTGGGTAGAGCTGTGCACAACTGTAAACAATATTGCAGTAAATATTGGAACTGAACCTACAACACACACAGGTCTGTAACTCATTCATTAAACTGTTTATTTTAGATGACATTTTCAGGGAAAAAAAGATTTAAATTTTTTTTTTAATTATCCTGACAGATTTCGACAACTAGTTCAACATTTTGTATGTAATGACTGAAGTAATGAAATGAGGACTATTCGTTTATATGGAATGACTATTCAGCATTCACAAGTTTAGTTCATTTTGACTGACATGACATAAGCAAATGATAATGTTATAAAACAGCAGAGTTGTATGAAAGCAATTGATGCATGTCTAAGAGCATTTGTAGTTTGTTGAACTTGGAAGGAATGAGAAACTGCTACTATGATGTGCACAAATGACAAATGTAAATAATTATTTTGAGAAATGCATTAACTGTTGTGCAAATGTAAATAATGTTGTGAGAAATGCACCAAAGGGACTGAGTAGTCTGTGTCGGTTCCTATCAGTCAGTCTGCCTGTCTATCCTTCTGTGTGTCACTCCGTCTGGTTGTATCTCTCTGTCCATCCATACAGTATTCTGTCGTCTGTCCTGATCTATCTGTCTAACTGTTTAACTTTCTCTCCTTTTTTCTGTCTGTCCACATTAACCTGTCATCCATCCATCCATCCATCCATCCATATATTTCTGTCTGTCCTTAAAACATACTTCAGCTTTTTAAGCAACCTTGTGTGTGTGTGTTTTGTAAGGTGTGTGTTACAGTAGTTTGGATGGAGTCCTCGCGGAGCACAGTGGGTCACTCCCGCGAGTACAAACTGGTGATGTTAGGAGAGGGAGGTGTGGGAAAAAGTGGTGAGTAACTTGGTATGTCTTTCTCTTTTTTTAACCTATTTTTTCACTTATAACTTATGTATACACTGCAAAAATTGTCTTATTTATTACTATCACTTTGACTGCAGTTGTTTTGTGTGTACATTTTTTTTTTGTACTATATATTACACTCACCGGCCACTTTATTATGTACAACTTACTAGTACTGGTTTGGACCCCCTTTTACCTTCAGAAATGCCTTAATCCCTCGTGGCAGAGATTCAACAAGGTACTGGAAATATTCCTCAGAGATTTTGGTCCATATTGACATGATAGCATCACGCAGTTGCTGCCGATTTGTCGGCTGCGCATCCTTGATGCGAATCTCTCAGTCCACCACACAACAAGGTGCTTTATTGGATTGAGATATGGTGACTGTGGAGGCCTTTTTAAGTACAATTTCATGTTGAAGAATCCAGTCTGAGATGATTTGGGCTTCATGACATGGCGTGTTATCCTACTGGAAGTAGCCATCAGAAAATGGTTACCCTATGGTCATAAAGGGATGGACATGGTCAGCAACAATACTCAGGTAGGCTTTAGCATTGACAAAATGCTCAATTGGTACTAATGGGCCTAAAGTATACCATGAAAATACCCCCCACACCATTACACCACCAACTTAAACCATTGGTACAAGGCAAGATGGATCCATGCTTTCATGTTGTTGATGCCAAATTCTGACCCTACTATCCGAATGTTGCAGCAGAAATCGAGACTCATCAGACCAGTTAACGTTTTTCCAATTTTCTACCATCCAATTTTGGTGGGCCTGTGCGAATTGTAGCCTCAGTTTTCTGTTCTTAGCTGACAGGACTGGCTACTGGTGTGGTTTTCTGCTGCAGTAGCCCATCCGCCACAAGGTTGGACGTGTTGTGCATTCAGCGATGCTCTTCTGCATATCTCGGTTGTTACGAGATATTTGAGGTAATGTTGCCTTTTTATTAGCTCGAACCATTGTCCTCTGACCTCTGGCAACAACAAGGCATTTGTGCCCACAAAAAAGTCACTCACTGGAAATTTTCTCTTTTTCAGACCATTCTCTGTAAACCCTAGAAATAGTTGTGTGTGAAAATCCAAGTAGATCAGTAGTTTCTGATAAACTCAGACCAGCCTGTCTGGCACCAACAACCATGTCACAATCAAAGTCACTTAAATCACCCTCTGCCCTATTCTGATGCTCAGTTTGAACTGCAGCCGATTGTCTTGACCATGTCTACATACCTAAAAGCATTGAGTTGCTGCCATGTCATTGGCTGATTAGAAATTTGCATTAGCGAGCAGTTGGACAGGTGTACCTAATAAATGGCCGGTGATTGTATATTAATAGCTTGTACTAGGCTATATGTGATTGCTCTGTAACGACTGCTCTGATTTCATTCTTTAGTTTATTAATTCTTTAGTGACTTGAAAGAGCCTTGGGTGACACTTACAATGAGGTTCCAATAGTAATGTCAGTAAAGTTAATTTACCAGATTTGTTCATGTTTGTTAATGTTAGGTGTTCATGTTCACTCACAGTGCGTTCACTAATGTTGCGAAGTACAACTTTGAATTTAATAAAGAATTATAATGTTGAACTATGATAAATAAATGCTATACTAGTAGACATGAATAACTAACAGTTTATGCAATAAATTCAATATGCAATAACCAGTAGGTACAACTAAATTCATTAGATAAAATAAAAATAATATTAAATATCGGCAAACTCAAGAATTATTCTCTGTGTCTAGTGCATTTCAAAATAAGCAATGCAAATTTCAAATCAGATTTACTGTAAACAGTTTTACATAGAACAGGCTGATATGCCAATATTTAACAATAATATATTTTATCCAGTAAATTTAGTTGTGCCTATATTGCATTTACCTTTTTTGGCAAATCTATCAACGTACTTAATGTAATGTTGTCTCTGTGTCTCTCATTTTATGTCAACTTACATGGTGCCAGAGAAATTGATATATTTGCTCCATTAACTGGTTGAAATCTACTTATAAAGATTTAGGTCATATCGGCCTCCTTTAAGTAGCTGCTAGAAAGTCACTTCATGATTAACTTCATGACACAACCATTATGCTTAACCCCCCCAGTGTGTGAGCTAGAGGTGACTGTGGAATGTAGCAGGAAAACTCTTTTGGTGAAACTAAGTCAGACCTTACTGTCCTAACTAAATAATTAAAAATCAAGACATAATCATTTTATTTTGGTAAAATAAGCATGATCTAGAGGCCTTTGCCTTTCATATGTCACTTCTGATACCAAATGATCAACTAAAAGTCAAGTTTTTTGTTGTTCCTAAAACTTGGACAGGCGACAAGACTTTTGTCAGGTATTCTTATTCTATAAAGCTATGATAAAATAAAGCTATACATTTTTTTATTTCATACATTTTGAATTTTTTTAACTGTGGAAATCTGTGTGTCATTTGTAAATTATAAAACACCAACACACACTAACTGATCCAGTGATCCTCAGCCAAAATAAAAAGACATATTTGAATGGTTTAGGGGCGAGGCAGTGGCGCAGTAGGTAGTGCTGTCGCCTCACAGCAAGAAGGTCGCTGGGCCGCTAGTTAGAACCTCAGCTCAGTTCGCGTTTCTGTGTGGAGTTTGCATGTTCTCACTGCGTTCGCGTGGGTTTCCTCCGGGTGCTCCGGTTTCCCCCACAGTCCAAAGACATGCGGTACAGGTGAATTGGGTAGGCTTAATTGTCCGTAGTGTATGAGTGTGTGTGTAAATGTTTCCCAGAGATTGGTTGCGGCTGGAAGGGCATCTGCTGCGTAAAAAATTGCTGGATAAGTTGGCGGTTTATTCCGCTGTGGCGACCCAGTATTAATAAAGGGACTAAGCCGACAAGTGAATGAATGAATGTTTTAGCAACCAATTGAATGAAAAAAAAGAAATCTAAGTTAAAACTCCAAAATTAAGAAAATAAACTAATTAATATGATTAAAATATAAAATACTCCTCAAAGTAGTGGAGCAGAATAGCTTTTACAATCCTCCTTTTATGAATAATCTGAATTCATCCTAAACTGATTTTAATGGTCAAACAAACTTGCTGATAATTAAATCTCCCTCATTGTAATTAAAACGCCACAGTACAAACAACCATTCTTTTAATATAAACAAATATTATTTCCAGCTTTCTTGTCGACATGAAGTGTTTTGCAGAGATCGACTTTTATGCCTAATTTCTCACTACTATATGGCAGGGTTATTTTTGTCCGCTGCAGCCCATTATTGTGGTTAGACAACAGCAGCTCTCACAGCCACAGACATACAGTAGAGTCTCAGCCAGACAATAAGAGTGTGGGTGTTGGCTCACTGCTTCAGTCTGCTGGTCATGAAGGCGCAGGTGCCCAGCAGTTTCCTTCTCCTGTTGACCAGCAGACTAGAACAGGTCAGCTGATGTGAAGGATCCTCAGGCTTTTGCTCTCAGTGTTTGAGCGAGTGCTGATACTCTCTCTTTTATATCTCGTCTCCATGTGAACAGAGCAGAGCAGAGCAAACACGTAGCGACAGCAGGGTGTGTTTGCTGCACATGAGGGAGAGCGGGGAGATGTTTACTCTCCTCTCGCTGAATTTCATGATACCACAATTATGTAAGAGCTGTGCTTGTCTCTTTTTCTTTGTCTCGTAGCCATCATCATGCAGTTTATAAGTCACAGGTTTCCAGAGGACCATGACCCTACCATTGGTAAGAAAGACCTGATATGTTTTTTTTTTTTTATTATTTGCAATCAATTTTTCCAATCAATTCCTGTGGCTACACATCTCAGGATTAAGGGCGTACTCACACTATGTACAGTTGCCTTAAACCGGGCCGAAGCCTGCTTGTTCCCCCTCCCGTCTCCCCCGACGGCCCGCACTCACATTACATTCGGGCCTGGGCACGCTTAAATCATCGATAATGCACTTATTAGTAAGTGCTCAGCACAGGGGAGATTTCTTTAGTTATATTGTTTTAGCCGTTTGGGATGCGGTAACACAAAGTCAAATATTTTTAATATATTTTAACAGATCAGCCACTTTTGACGCGCATAAAGTCCTCGTGTTGCAGGAATTAGTTCAGTTTGCAGTTTGCTAGAATCAGTTTGCTGAAGGTGCAGTTGCAGGGGTGATAGCGTTCCGGCACCACGCCGGATTTCCGGCGTACTGTGGCTGCGGGGAAAAAAATCAGGTTCACGGATATTGATCTGTCATTTCTCAAGATTCACAGAATTCACTCACTGCTGAAAGCGCCGGATTGGTTTTTATTAAGTGCCATTTTGTGTGCTCGTGAATCATCTTTTGAGTGTAGACGCCATGTAAATAAAAGATTAATTGTGTAATTTAGAGAGCTTTATAAATTATAACGGATCTTTGTGAGATCTCTATGAACTAAGATTAGTGACGCTTTTTAGTGATAATAAGAGGAGCGTGCTTTGCACTTTACAGGCTAATCCATTCAGAATTTGTAAGAAACTTTAGTTTTCGGCACATATACGCTGATATGTTTTGGGAATGACTGCATATTTACACTGGGTTTATTCTCGAAATAACGGTGAAGCAATAGACGGGACAAAAATATATTTCCCCCTTCTCCTTAAACAACTTAGTGTTTCAGCTATGAAATAGTTCAGTTTTGTATGTACCCTAATATCAAAGTGTTTATATTTAGTTTCGTTTTTTATTCAGCTTATTTAGAAAAACATTTGGAGCATTTTTTATTCGTTAAAAATAAGTTTTTTTTTTTAACGAACAGCGCCCAGCGGAAGACCATCATTGTCTGTTTGATCAGTTTGCCTTCTCAGATCATCACGACTTGCCTAAAATAAAAGATATAAAACAGTTCAAGTATAAAACAATGGTAGCTTAAACGTTAAAGAATGTGTGCTATTAGGCGCATAGTTTGCTTATAAAAAGCTTGCAGTACATCGAGGCGCCAGAGCAATCACTTGCATTCTTTCAGTGGGAGCAATTTAAAGTTATCCGTCATTTTTGCTCACAAAGTACGAGTAATACATCAAAAAACGTTACAGCGTTTTTATAAAATAAAGAAAACCAAAATTATGCGCTTTCTGTCGTCTGGTTTATGAACAGGAGCGCTTAACAAAATGAAGCAAAATGTATATGCCTCACAGACATAATAAATATATTTATAGAAAGCTTTAAATTATTACTTAACGAAATAAAACAAATCGAAAACAAAAAAACTCCTTCATGTAATCCGTAAAGATGAATTTCTTTCTAAAGGCGAGTCCAAGAGGAAATTGCCAGTCAGGATCTTTGCGACACTGACTCAGAATAAGTAAATAATAAATTAAAATAATAAATAATAAAATAAAAAAATAAAATAATAAATAAATAATTAAGATATGTCCTTACTCTTTCCTCGACACATTCATTGTTATTTGTTTTTGCCGGTGCTTGGGGCGAGTTTTAGCTTATTGTGTGCGCTTGAACGCGGATTCACAGTAGCAGTTTTAACATGGAGTGACACGACATCTGACGTACAGATGACACTGGCACAGTCCGGTTTTCCACTGTCATGTGTCACTCGCTAGTGGCATGTGTAGTGACCTGTGTCACTCAGAGTGTCGCGCTGCATGTCACTACAGTGACATCGACACCCGGCGAAGCTTATGACATTAATTAACACGAGCAAAACCATATTTAATCATTACGCGACTTTTAACCTAATTTATCGCGTCGCAAGTTAGTTTATTTGCTGAGCTACTCCACGATGTTTTAATTTAAACGCTTTTATTTTATGTATTCGTAGTCATACTTCTGTACGTAATATAGTCATTTGACAGTACATGTCAGTCAAATTTATTGTGGCATGCTTATGTATGGGAGGGGTTACACTTATCTGTTGTACTGTATATTATTGCATCCTGGCAGTTCCTTTGTTCCCTACAATATGGACTTCTCTATGTTTTTAATTCATTCATTTATTTTATTATTTAACTTATTTTCATTTTAAGGTATTTTAAATAATATCCTTTAAAAAGTTATAATAAAATGCATGTTGAAAACTCATAACATATATGCATGTAAGATAACAGGTGTCATTTGCCTAATGATTTTTAAATATTAAAGCAAAGAGACTTATCAGATTTATGTGCTTATAACGTGCTTATACTGACACCTACTGGCACATGTCACAAGATCACTGACACTGGCATGTGTCACTGACATTACTGGCATGTGTCTAAAAAGAGCCACTTGACAATAATGATGATCAGGGTTACACATAGGCTGTTAATATATTTGGGCCCAGGGGCCCACAAGTTATGTGTTAAAAGTGCGTTGCATACATTGTACCCCCACCCCTACTCGCCTCAGGGGCAAGGAAAAAAAGTTCAGGCTCAGGAATTTTTTCCACTATCAGCCCTGCAGTTGTCATACAGTGAGGGGTTTGCGACTTTAATAATCTTTGACAGTTTGCGTTCATTGAACAGTAAGAATGATTCATTAATCCATAGGAAACAGTCCCTTAAAGTCATGCCTTGTCCTTGTCAGACTCAGGCTTGCTTTGCACTCACACTACAAGTATACCATGCCGAAGCCCAAGTGAACTGCGCCTGAGCCTGATTCAGAGCACTCACACTTCTCAAACGATCCAGGGAAACGGGCTTGGGCACAGTTCGGATAGCATAGTGTGAGTACACCCTAAAATTTAGCTTCTAACTTGCCGATTAAAAAAAATAATAATTAAAATAATGGGCATGTCAGTGTTAAATTTTTGCTTCAAAGACCATGAAACCCCCCTCTATTGGTTCAAGTCTACCTCTGAATAAAAAAAAAAAATGCTTCATGATGGGCATGGAGCTCTGCGGGCAGAAGGAGGAGTGGGCGTGGCCGGCAGAGCAGGGAAGAAAGAGGGTAGCGGGTCATAAGGGTAAGAGGGTAATTGTTGGCTCACAAAATGAGATACAAACCGCGAGAAGACCCATGATTTTATAGTTTACAAAGTTAAAATGCAAAGAAATAAACTAATTAATGCCCTGCTAAATTTGTTAGTCGTAATTTCATATACACATGACAACAATTTGTTATGTCATCATAAAGATAATCGTGTTTATATAAGCACTATAAATGAGGAGGACTTGAATGCAGACACAGTAAATAGCAATGCAGCAGGTCTCTTGCCATATCTATTTCAACCATTAGCCCTGCTGGTAATTTGGAGGATTTTAAACAAATGGCGAACACAGCAGCACGGATATAGGCGAGTTGTCTTAATAGATTGTTTTCACATGACGTCACTGATGATGCGCGAAATTCAGATGGAGGGCAGGAAGTGATTCTTCTACATAGGAATCGCTATCAGAACATTAAAATGTTTCTGTTTTTATGTATAATTGTTTAAATCGGCCAAAGTAATAAATGCTGAACTCGTTTATAGAGTTCCAAAAGTTTTTGCTTATTAAGGGGGAATGTTCCAGAAACTGGCTGAAAAACAGGAGAACAGGCGACATGTAATAAACATTTTTTCAATACATCTGTGTACAAACTTGAACGTGATAATTTGTTTGACAGCACCATTAAATATTTTATACAGACAGGGCTTGACATTAACTTTTTTAAGTAGTTTTCTAATGATATTAGTCACTCTGCATTTTTACTAGCCACAATTTTGTTGTTGGGAAAATATTTTTATATGCATAAATATGACTTTGACATGCTAAAATTACTTGATTTAGATTTTGTTTCTCCACATGCCTCCTCATTCATTTCACATTTTGTGAAAAACTATATGTGTCAAAACAAGCTAAATATAGCTGGATACTATACGTTTTATTAAAAAAAAAAACAATTGACTTTTTAAAATAATTATTGTCAAGTATCAAAAATATGCACAGTAATCTGTCCTGGCTAAAGGTCTCTCATATCACCAGTTAACTGCACATAAATAGTGAGTTAAAGCAATGTTGTTGTGAAAAAAAAAGATAATTAAACCATATAAACAAAAATAACCATAAGCAAACGAAAGCAGGTGAAAAACATAGTATGTGTGATAATGAAAGTATGATGACACAGTCAAGGCCAATTAATAATCTAATCAAAGCGAAAGCAACCGGTGCTGCTTACAAAAAGACACATTTGGAGCTTTTAAAAGCAGCAAGACTGTGGTTGCATTAGCATAACTTTTTTGTCAGGTCTATATGAAATAGAACCGATCACAGTTGCCTTCCAGACACGGTTACTTCAGGCAAGGAAACAGGAGCGCGCACGCGCTTTAAACAGTTGCGCGCATCACATCAGCTGTTAGCGCGACTGATCATCCTCTCATACTGTATTCACCTGCTTTCTATTGCCCACGCAAAAGCAATTATTTTTGTTAGTCGTGCTGTTTCTTGATTCTAAGATCACATTTGCATGCATATTGGGTGACTTATGCTCGAACCCTGCTTTTAAGAAAACCACAATTTAACATTTTTTTCAACCAGCCAAAATGGCTAGTGGGAGTGACTGTCTAACCCTCCAAAGCTGAAATCTACCCGCATTTGGCGGGTGTTGATGTTAAGCACTGTATACAGACCTAACTATGTGTTTAAATGTTAATGTAAAATCCAGGAGAATATAAATAACGTAACCTGCCATGTAATTGCTGCAATGAATTCTGTTTCGGCATAGTAAACAACTGTATCGTAAACATTAAAATGCGCAGCAGCAGTAAATGTTTGTTGATGGTAAGTGCATTGACAGAACAAAAATAAACACTTGTGACAAAACTAGACGGTTATTATCGTGGAGCACTTTTTCCCAATTACAAAAAGATACACATAATAATTTAGACTATGCGTCCACGCTTTTGAATGCTTGATGTCTGGAAGATATCCGCATGGAGAAAAAAAAACTATAGTAATTTAAATGTTTTTTTTTTTTACAGTGAAGTGTATAATGTGTACAACTCTTTGTTATTTATAATACAGAATACTGCAGCATGGTAAACTGATAAACTGTAATAAATACTGTAACGTTAATGTAAACTGGTGCAATGTGATAGTGTATAATTATAGCATAGAGAACTAAAGCCTATTGAATAATTTGTTTATTACTACAGTTGTGTTGTACTACAGCAATTATATAATTACCACCAATTCAAGTAATTATCTTTAGTATGCTTTCAAACACTGTAGTATTTATTTTTTCATGCAACGTAATAGCTTATACAGTATCTACCGCCTGGATGATTGTCAAATATATTTTAGTTCAGTAGAAAACTTGACTCTCTTCATGAAATAAGGATCATGCCCAACATATGTGATTATTTTGCCAGCTTGGCAGGTCTGCCTTGCCTTCGGAAAACACATGCTCTCATGAATAATTAAGAAGCAGGGTCTTCTCATAGGATAAGAAAACTTGCATATGAATAATAATGAGAAACCAATGTTTCTCATTCTCCACTAGCAGATTCGCACTAGGTAATATTTTGATCCCACCCCAAAAATTATTTTAGACCTGGAAGATGAAATTAGCTGGCAAAAGCTCAAAATTATCCAGTTTTACCAACAATTTAAGCTGACAGCTGCTAATGTTGTGTGCTCAACACACAAATCTGTTAAAATAAAAAAAAGTACTCCAGGGTGTCCTGAACCTTTAAAAGTATTTTCATTTTAGTATTGACACTAGCTTCTAAATCAGTGAAATGTTTCAAGTAGTGAAGAAGTCATTGAATACAAACCACGGATTTTACTAAAATTTAACTGCAATCTGCCTTAAAATGAAAACATTGTAAAAACATTTAAAGGGCACCTCTGATAAAAATCTTTTGTAAGCTGTTTGGACAGAACTGTGTGCAGGTATAGTGTGTCCATAGTCATATTGGGGTGATATAAAGACAATAAGTATCTTTTTTTTTTTAAATTTCCTGACGTTAAAATATTATCCAAATCCCTCCTATTTTGAGGCCCGCCGCAACGTGACGTAGGAGTGTGGTTTCTCCGCCCATCTAATTGACTGACAGTCGTGTATTAACATGTCTTCGTAGTATCACATATAATCATGTCAACAAGACAGGACATGCACAAAGCAATTGGGATTAAAAGATCTGTTCAGCTTGCTGTGATTATCAATCATCATCAAATGTGATCAAGAATGAGTTTAACAAGACAAAACATTTCTAAAACAGTGCACGTTTGTAATAAAGATAGTAAAATTGCTTCGTAATTCTTTACCACAGCTGCCTGTCAGTACATCTATAAAAGAAACCAATCCCGGTTCATGGACGTTAAATCAGGTTTATTTTGTACATTAACATAACAGATGTCCATACAGCAGTGGATATTAACATGTCACATTTGCGTGCAAAAACAGTGCAAAGCTAAACGTGTGTGTGAGCACAAGTGCACATGTGCAAACTTTTTAACGACAATGTGTGTGACTTGTTGTAGAAAGCTTGAATTAACTCCACAACAAATACATCAAATAACCATTGGGAAAGGTCTTTCTGTAGTAAGGGAGATCTGCTTCATTATTATCTGTCACTGTGCTGTTTATCTACGTGAAGACTACACCCATCATAGCAATAGTGAATAATCTCTTTGGCTCTGCATGACACGCAAGTGGAAACAGTGGACGGGGAGAACCAGCTCATTTTTTATTAAGGGCACAGGCAACACAAACAGCTACAAAGTCAAATCAGCTCATTTTCAATATACACATCGGTATCAGAAATAAAGGTACACGAACTGTCACTGGGGTGGTACCTTTTCAAAAGGTGCACATTTGTACTTAAAGGGTACACATTGGTACCTCAAAATTATATATTAGTACCTAAAAATGTTAAGAGGAACACTTTTGTACTTTTTAGGTAATCATATGTACCCTTACGGTATTAACGTGGCCCCTTTAGGTACAAATTTGTAACTTTTGAAAAGGTACCACCTCAGTGACAGTTCGTGTACCTTTATTTCTGGGAGTGTAAAATAAATCATTTGATGGGTATTTTGAGCTTACAGACACATTCTGGAGACACAAAAGACTTATCTTACTTAAATCTTGAAAAGGGGGTAAAATAGGTATCCTTTTAGGTAAGCTTTTAACAAGTAATTGCCTTAATCACAGGGTTGTTTCCATACAATATAAATTAGTAAAAATATAAATACAGTATAATTTTTTATTTATTGAAAACACAAAAAATAACATATATATTTAGTTCATGTCTTTAGAATTTCATTATAAAAAATCCTAATAATTATTATTACCTTTCATTTTATTCTATTTATTTATATGATATTTCAATGAAAGTGACACTTGTTCGTTTTTGGTTTCATTCACATTTTAATTTTTAATTGGAAATGATATGAGCATATAGACTAAATTATGGTTTTCTCATTGTACCCAGTTTAATAATTCTCTGTTCATAGAGGTTTATTGCAGTTTAATAGAAGTTAATCCCATAATTTGAGCAATTATAGTTCAGGGATAGTTTATCCAAAACTGAAATTGTGTCATCATTTACTCACCCTTGACTTATTTCAAACCTGTTTGACTTTTTCCTTCTGCTGAAAAACCTGTAACGATTGACTTCCATTGTATTTTTCTTACAGTGAAAGTTGATTGTTACAAGTTTTTAGCTTTCTTCGAAATATCTTCTTTAGTGTTCAACTAAATAAAGAAATTTATAAGGGTTTGTAACCACCTGAGGGTCACTAAACAGTGAGTAAATTTTTATTTTTAGTAGGTGAAATATCACTTTAAGCCTCGTTGTAGCTTTTGATATTATTTATCCTACACTGTAAAGATAGAATGGGATGAGTGCTCAAAAAATAAACTTTTTGAAATTCAGCCAAAAATAGGAAGAAAATCCAATTTATTTTTTAACTCAAGACATGATGAGATTGTTTATAGAAGATGCCATATTGGACACACAAAGCTCACACATGAACTCAAAGGAAAAAAAAAACTCCCCAAAATGTCAGTGTTTCAACCAAAAACAAACTGTTAAACATATCCTTGTGGAATCCCCTATTTTTAATGTTATCAGACATTTTTTTATCTGGTGAGACTTAATTAAAATTAAATGTAACAATTTGAAATGTGAGTCCTTCTACAGGGTTTCTGCAGGGTCTTAAAAAGTCTGTGTTTTATGTATTGCTACTCAATCTGGCCAAAACCCATACAATAACTAACAATTCGTTTCAATAAAACTTTAAAATTTTAATTAAAAAAAGTAATTTTTTACTCTATTTATCATAATGGTTTAATTATTTTCTCTCAGTAACATTTGTTTAAAGGTGCTCCATGTATTTACTGTTGAGGACACCGACCTGGATAGATGATTGTGCATAATTTTAGATAATTATAATTTTTAAAACCTTTTTAAACATTTGTTACATTTTTTTATTTTTTATTTTAAAGAAAGTTTATGTAGGAAAAAAAGTGTATAGATACAAGTAGAGATTGCATTTTTTTACACAATATTTAAAATATTTTTTTAAATATGTCTAAAATATTAAAAGTGTTTATTATTCATGTATTATTGTATTATTAAAATATATATTATAATATATAGTTTTTGATATGACAAGTAAAAATCTTTTCCATCTGGGCCATTTGAAAAAATCCTTATCATTTATCCCTTTATGAGTCTAAAATTTCATTCATAATGGTCCTTAAAATGTCTTTAAAAGTCCTAAATTTAACTTGGTGAAACATGCAGAAACCCTGTTTTAAAATTGTACAATCTTTATCAAAAGTAATCCTTAAAAACTGTTTTAGATTTTTATTGTATATGATTATTATTATTATTATTATTATTATTTATGTATTTTACCTTGTGTATTATTTATTGCTGCTAATGACTTTTAATTGTTAGAATATTTTTATAATTATAGAAAAATGGTATTTATAAAATGTGGTAAACTTATGTTGTTTCAGCTCATTACAAAGAAGTAGTTTGATCAAACAGCAAACATGCTTTTTTGTGTGTACATATTCCAAGCTTTGTTAGATTACCTTTGTTGTTTTTGTTTACTTAAAAAAGAGAAAGAAAACAAGTCATTAATTTCAAGTGTTGAGAAACAAACAAAATATCCAACACTGAATTTATTTAGTAGAAAATTATAAGCAGTAATATTGTAAAATATCTGTATAATTTTAGATGGCTGTTTTCATTATAATATATTGCACTGTAAAGCTGAATTGTCTTGTGCGTGTTTTTCCTTTTCTTAGAGGATGCCTATAAAACACAGATCCGCATTGACGATGAGCCAGCAAACCTGGACATCTTGGACACAGCGGGACAGGTACAGTAGGTGGTGTGACAAAGATGGTCACAGAGAAAACAAAACAAGAATCAGGCATGCACTGAACACTTTATTTTGCAGACTGCAAGAAGATCAGTTTCCTTTTAAAATATGCCTCGCTTCTCTTTTTCTGTTTCTCAGTTTTGCGGTGATCACTTCACAAGACATTAAAACAGGCCAGGCATGAATCTTGCTCCTCTGACTCAGCATATTTTTCCTTATTCGATCACTCAGCACTGTTATACATTTCACTAGTCATCCCATCATCATGAGTTTAATGAGAATTTGACTGCAATAGAACGATGTAGTGTAACAATGCTGAGATATTAAAAGATTGTTTCGAAATTCATTGTTGACATAATGTTGACTACAAAAGAAATTTGGACTTGTAATAAGCTCTTGGGTTTTAAAACCAAACAAAAATCTTTTCACAAATCCATTAAAGCCATGAGATTTACATGTTTGTAATTTCCTCTTTAAATAGCTGCTCATATAATGAATCCTGTGTTGAGAATTAATTTACAAATGTATCCGAATCTGGATTTGCCCTTCATCTTCTTTAAAAAAAGACGCAGTTCCAGTTTGTGTTAATTGTCCTGTCTCTACGGATTTGTGATCAATGTTCGTTGTTTATATTTATTCTGATGGCAAAGTTAGTATCATTAGCAGTACTCTTTCAGTTTTTAAAGACCTACCTTGGTCAAAATGATTTAGTTACCAAATTTACAGTATGTTAATATCACTACAATATCATGGACTGAAAATCCTCCACTTCCACACAGCTCTCAGATCCACTGTAAATGCTGCTCTCCGAATCCCTGTCTATTGTCCCTGCATCTGTGTTTTTGTTGCCGGTGTGAAAGTCAGCTGTTGTGTATGTAATGAAACTTCTCTTTTTTCATGCAAACCCTTCCCTCTTTTGCTACTCGACATTCCCACCTAAACAAAGCTGGACTCACCCACTTTCCTGACTTTTTTCAAACTAGAGGTGTGAAAACACCCTGCTCAGACAGGGGGGTTTCATAGCCCTTTAAATCTTTACTGGGCAGGGAAAGTTTATTTATATAGCACATTTCATATATAATGGTAATTTAAAATGTTTTACATAAACAAGAATAAAATAAACAAAATACAAGTTTAAGACATTTAAACAACAAAGAATAAAAATATTAAAAACAGATTAAAATGTGTTATATTTATGTTATATTAATATAACACATGTATATCATTTACTAATGTTATATTATATTATATACATGTTATATAGTTTTTGAGGACGGGGGTCCTAAAAAGTCTAAAAATATCTTAAATCTCAAAAGCAAAATTTTAGGCCTACTTAAGTGTTGTTGTAGGTTTTAAATCTTTTTTTAACAGCTCTTAATTTTTCTACTGTATGTACAGTATAGCTATCCAATCTGGTTATTAACACCTATACAATCACCAACAATTGATCTCAATAAAATTTTTAACTTTTTATTTAAAAATAGCATTTAATTACTTTCCTTACAGTAACATTTGCTTAAAAGTATCCACTGCTGAGGATACTGACCTAACCTATAATTTTTTTATATTAATAATTTATTATTATTGTAGATTGAAGTAATTGACAGCTATGTTTTGTACTATTCTTGTTATGGGTCATAGGGTTTGTGCATGGATATATTTGAAAAAAAAAATTCAATCAAAATTATTATTATTGCATTATTAAATGTATTATTTTTAAATATTTTTAATAGGGCAAGTGACAATGTTTTATAACCTGGATATTTAAAAACAAATCCTTAAATTTCATTCATAATGTTCTTAAAAATGTCTTTAAAAGTCTTAAATTTAACTTGGAGAAACCTACAGAAACCCTGTATAATACTAATGTTATGTTGAATAATCATTCAGAATATCAAGATATTTTTACATTGTTATTAGTTATAAAGTTTCAAGATGAACACTTAGCAGACAGAAGCAACTTTACTTGATTATGCATGAGTTTTTGGAAAAAAAAAGGTTTAAATCTCAATTTCAAATTTTAGAATGATTGGAGAAATGATCTTAGAACAACTAAAATTAACAAGCACACAGGAAAAGGATTCCTGAATAAGGTTTGATGTATATTTTATTAATTTATCAAGTGATCATTGTCATATTCATGGCCTTGTGTATTCGTTTGGATCCAGGCGGAGTTTACAGCAATGCGTGACCAGTATATGCGAGCAGGTGAAGGTTTCATCATCTCATACTCCATCACTGACCGCCGCAGTTTCCAGGAGGCTCGTCACTTTAAGCAGCTGATTTACCGTGTACGACGCACCGTGGACACACCTGTCGTGTTGGTGGGCAACAAGTCTGACCTGGTACATCTCAGACAGGTGGGATGCTCTTCATATTCAGACTCCATTGCATAATATGATGTTTAATAATGGAATCATGAAGTATCCCATCGACGCAACATACTATTGACTATAATGAAACTTATAACTGTAGTGAAGGCCAACCTATACATTCACATTTATGCATTTGGCAGATTCATATTCATATCATGATAACCATGATGAAAAGGATTGACAAATGAAAATTAAACAACCTTCACTAATGGCTTGATTCTCTTATGTGTGATCCAGTCATTGGTCTAAACGGCAGACAGTCTGAATTAAATCAAATCGGTTTGAGTTTCTTTCGTATGTTGAACACAAATGAAGATATTTGAAAAATGTTGGAAACTTTTATCCTTTGTTCCCTTAAACTATCAATAAAACTATCCATTTACTGCTGGAAGGTACATTTACCTCAAATTTTTCAAGTAGTTGTAATTAAATACACTTTTAATGATTATTAATGATGAAATTAGCTGTCAATAATTAGTTTTATCAAACTGGTATCTGTTTAATTTGTACTTGTAACCCTTAAACTAGAGTAACCCCAGGTTGGAAACAAGCGACAACATCCTGTTCTCCCTTTCTGAAGCTAATACGAAAAGAAATGAAATTGCAATTCATCGAAATTCCGCTTGGTCTGGCTCCAAAATAGAGTACATGTCTATTAAGCCCAATGTTAAAATGGCTAACTTTACAGCCTGATATACAAAACAATTTTGGTGTATATAGCTAATAATACCCTTCATGAAAACTGTGAGGGGCTGAAATTTTTTTATATTTTATCTGTTTTATTTATATTAAGTCTGCATAATTAAGGGCGTGGCCACAGAATGACAGCTTGGACTCGCTGGTTGTTGTCACATCATTCCGGCTGATCAGCTGCTGAACTCGGCATTTACATAAATTTTTTGTTTAGTTTTATGTGGCTTTACACAGTCAACTGCCTTTTGGAATTATTTCTTACAATTATCAGATGGTATGGCATACTGTTTACACTTAATTGTGCTTGCAAACCATTCAAGTGGCGTCCATTTCCCTGGTGAATGAAATTATATACTTACATACCATCTCTATAAATGTATTTGTTTTATTTAAGACAATTTATTATCCATATTTTTATTTAAAACTGTAAAGCACTCCAGAGTCTGCCAGATTGATTTGCTGTAGGCTAATGCCTGAATTTCATCAATAGCAATTTGAAGTATTTGGAAATAATTTGCTTTTTTCTCCTGTAGAAAAACTTTATAAGAACAATGTTTAGTGGCTCAATGTATTACAGCAGTGTTTTTAAAAGACTAAACACTTTTTTGATATAGTACACAACCAAGCACATGTGGTCAGAACACAAACGAGTCGCAGGTAATGAAGTATTAAGCATTTCTGCAAAAGAAAAGCTAGTCTACGCTAAATGTTAGCAGGCATCTGTAGCTCCGCTCTCGTTCCACGTCATTGTCCTTTTTTGATTACCCCCGGTCAGTGCGATGACGTGCAAACAAAATGGCAACAGTTGGCCACGCCCATCTGCAGCTTCATTTGCGCACTTCAGAAACCTATGGGTGATGTCACGGATACTATAGAATAAACAATTAATATGCAAATGAGTTGCATGACATCACCATTTGTAACAAAATCAGGTTTTTTTTAGCTGTAAGCTTGTATTTTCAACACTGCGTCATTTAAACAAGTAAAGCCATAAAATTCATTAGAAGCAATTTAAGCAATTTAACCAATGCAAGGAATCAAGTTAGGTTTTGATTTTGACCAGCACATTCAGCTGTTTGGTTTTGTCAAAGCCACTGCCCTGAAGGTCATTTCCTCTTCTCAGCTCCATTCTCCTTCTGTCTTTATGATTCCTGCTTTCTCTGCCACAGGGAAGAATCTCTAATGCCCAGGGCTGCCACCATCATGCTTCACAGTGGAGATGATGTCTCATTGTGATGTGCTTAGTTTGATATGCGCCAAACACTTCAGCATTGTGCTGTCTGAGAAAAACACAGAGTCACTCTAGTCTTCACCTGCCTTTGGGCGAAGTCCAGATAAAATACCATGAGCTCTTCACTCTTATGACAAGTCTGACAGTTTCTCCAGTCTCTGGCAAGGAGGGCTGCAGCTTCTAAAGAATTGCCGTAGGCCTCTTGATTGCCTCTCTTACAAAGGTTTCTATCAGCTGCATTACACTGTAGGATGTCCCAGTCTGTTCACATTCACAGTTATACTATATTTTCTCACCTTTTACAATAGGTTAACTGGGTGTAAGCATTATGAAGTCTTTTGGAAAATATTTGCAACTGGTCATGAACTGAGAAATTAAAATTCTCTTGATGTTTGGACAGACATGAGAGGTCACTGAACTGTTTCAGAACTTAAAAAATTCTCATTAGTTGCTGGTGCCAATCTTCCTAATCAACAGGTTGTGAAATGAGCCACTTATTATGTAATAGTGTGGCTAAACTCTTAACTGCCTGTTCACACTGATTTGTTCATAGGTAAATAATAAGAGGTAAACACATGCCTAAAAAGAAACTAAACCCAGAACATGCTCAAAACAACAAAATTCTCTGCAGTGTCAATTTGAGAAAAACTAAACATTGCCTTCGTTCTGATTCCAACATTACTTTAGAGCGGATTAACTTGGTCATTTGTTTAATTCGTTTTACAAAACAGGGCAAACTTGCAGAAGAGAGAAATTCCAAAATTGCGGGCATGGGCCTGGATATTTCTGCAGATGGTTTACAGACGATGAACAAATTAAAGAACTAAGATGTGAAATGCTAAGATTCTCTCAGTCATATAAAGACATTCAAAACAGGACAGAAAATAGCCTATTACAATCTTAATAACATTATGAGAGGTCTCAGAGAACAGTACAAAGTGAATTAAAAATGTTATGACCCTTTAAAAAAACGCTTTACTTTTTTGTAAATAGGCTTATTTCACTAGTCACCCAGAGTTAACCGGTTAAGTTTTGTCTTTTAGCTTAGCCTTGCATAAATCTTTAAGAACATCTTCATAATTTAGGAGTAAGCAGTTGGTTGACTGTATGGATTAGAGAATGTGCTGTGTTAATCATGTTATGTGCTCAGTTTTAAATATTGGGCTACCTCAGGGATGTGTATCTCCTATTTTATTTTCTATATATATTAATGAACTGCAGAGCAATGATGACGATAATCTCACTCTTATAAAATAGGGTAATTGATGGCATTGGTTTCCTGCCAATCCTGTAAATGAATAGCTCCTTATATTTAAAATATATTAGTATCACAGATTGGTTTGTCAAAAGTTCATTACATCTTAATATTGAAAAACAAAATAGCTATGTCAGGGGAGTCAAACAAGAGTAGCAGATACTAGATTTTATAAACCAGTTATCATAACTGGAAAAATAGTAGAGCTAATCTGAAATTTGAAGTATTTAGGCACAATTATTGACAATGAACTGAATTTTGACATACAGTGCTCAGCATATATGAGTACACCCCTCACAAATCTCTTAATTAAATAAATATTTTCTATAAGATGCTTTACAATATTTGTGCATACACCTTAGTTTAGTCAGTACTGATTACTGAAGCCTAATCTAGCAAAATAACTTACAATAATGTTTAAAAAACTAGTATCCCAAATTCATGTTGGGGAAAATATTAAATAACCTTTTTTAAAAATAACAAAAATCAAGAGAAGCTAAACATGTACACAATTTTGTAAAAATGTTGTAGTTTGTAATTTCTTTTGCAATATTTTGCATGAATTTTAATGTAGGGGTGATGCAGTGGCGCAGTAGGTAGTGCTGTCGCCTCACAGCAAGAAGGTCGCTAGTTCGAGCCCTGGCTGGGTCAATTGGCGTTTCTGTGTGGAGTTTGCATGTTCCCCCTGCATTCGCGTGGGTTTCCTCCGGGTGCTGTGGTTTCCCCCACATTCCAAATACATGGGCTATATCTGAATTGGTTAGGCTAAATTGTCTGTAGTGTATGAGTGTGAATGAGTGTGTATGGATGTGTCCCAGAGATTGGTTGTGGCTGGAAGGGCATCCGCTGCGTAAAACATGCTATATAAGTTGGTGGTTCATTCCGCTGTGGCAACCCCGGATTAATAAAGGGACTAAGTTGAAAAGAATGAATGAATGAATTTTAATGTATTATTTTTTCATTTCTAAAGATGTTCTGGGATTAAAATTTTATTTTAATAAATATATCTGTTTAATAAATAAGTTTTGTTCAAATGCACCAACATATATTACTCATATTCACTGAGAAATTGCTAAAAATATTAATTTTCAAAATGGGATGTACTCAATTATGCTGAGCACTGTAGTAACGTAGGGGCTGTTTATTAGAAGGCAAGTGTAGACGCGAGTATTTTGGACGTTGGTTCTGACGCGTTTGTTGCTTGAACGGGTCAATAAAAAAAAGTGAAATGGCCATACCTTTACAAATAAAGTTGGATATTCCAATCCATTTATTGTCCATTTTCTCAAAATTAAAAGTAAACATCAAAACAAACATAAACCCGTTCTCACAGCATGGCGGTCAAAAAGTTTGTTTGACCTTCTTCTTCTACACATCTCTCACTCGTCGTGAGGAGAGCATGAATACCTTATACACCCTCTAGTGGTGCAAAAGAACATTGCAACCCATAAATGGCTCCAACAGCAAGTCAGCGCATCAGTCTCCTCTGCAAGTTGAGAAGCTTTATTGTTAGTACACAGACTTTAAACATGGCATATAGATCATTAATAGAGAGTGTTCTTACATATAATATTGTTTGGTAACAACACTTAAACAAGAAGAAGTTATCGCAAATGATCAATCAGGCAAATAAGATAACTGGTTACAAACAATATTGGCTGCAGATTTTATTTGTCTCCTTAATGGAAAAACAGCAATTGTGATTTTGAAAGATAATACACATCCCCTTCACTCAGTTTTTGAAATGTTACCATCAGGACGCAGGCATATAATTTCTAGAGCCCAAAGAAATGCTAAAAAACCAATTTATCCCAATTGCAGTTGTATTAAATTGGATCACTGTTTAATGTGAATGGTGCGGTTGTTAAGAATGATCTGCAGTAATATGTTTGGGGTTAGTACATTTTTAATTCATGTTAGTTAGTTAGTTAGTTAGTTAGTTAGTTAGTTAGTTAGTTAGTTAGTTAGTTAGTTAGTTAGTTAGTTAGTTAGTTAGTTGGTTAGTTTATATAGCACGTTTTTTACAACACAACGTTGCCCAAAGTGCTGAACACAATCAATACTAAAAATAAAATCCACATCACATAAATAACAATTAAAACATAAGGCAAACCCCTTTCATGTGGTTGTCTTGAAGAGTGTTGCTATTATGTGATTGTTGTATGGTTGTATGTATGTTACAAGTGTTAAAGACAAATTTCTTTCTGTGCAAAGCAGAACAGACAATAACGTTTAAACAAACAAACAAATCATTGAAACAGATTAGACCATTACCAATTGGATCTATTTAAAGCTTGACCTGCCTGCAGTTACATTCTGTACTAAGACTGACAGAAAACGAGCAGGTTCAACGATATTGCGCAATACCTGAAAATAGTTTCCAGCTTGGTAACTAGGTAACAGCCCTGGGTAGTATTATTGTGCCAGCTCCAGCCATGGTACTTCAGCAAAGTCACTTGATTATTAAACCAGAATGAGAGTACACTTCATAGCCTTCCTTTTCATTTTCTTTCAGTCTTAATACACAATGTAACTACAGATGAGTCAAGTTTTAAATAGGAAAATTATTTTTAAAAAAAAAAGTACATTTTGAATGAGATGCTAACGGTCTAATGTGAATTAATGATTTATGCTAAGCTAAGCTAAAAGAGCTCTTACCAGACCCTGACATCGACTGAATGTATCCAAAAATGGTAAAATAAATTGTTCAACTCTAGGACACTTGTAAAATAATCTTATTTACCCCACCAACCCCCCACCCTACCTAAAAAGTGCCATTTTTAAATTCCTACTAAATCTTATCTAGTATTTTTCAAAGAGTCACCGCAGAAAGGAGCACCTTAAATTGAAGCTCTATTCATTTTGTCTTCACACTTTCAGGTTTCCGTAGAAGAAGGCAAACAGCTGGCGAGAGAGTTCCAGTGCCCGTTTTTTGAGACTTCGGCAGCGTTTCGTTATTACATCGATGAGGTTTTTGCAGCACTGGTGCGTCAGATCCGCCAACATGAGGCCGAAATGGTGCGGGACAGCGAGAGGAAAACCCGACGCAGCCATTCCTTCTGGAGTCGCCTTAAAGCCCCCTTCCATAGGAAACAGCAGTCCGAGCACTGACAGAGCCACAGAGGAGGGCATTCTGGGATACTGATGATTCTCTCGCCTGCAGCTGTATAACAGGTGGTTTGAGGACTGTATTTTATAGATTATTGTTGATTGTTTGCAATGACGCACTCCCAATCATTTCAGTTTCACTGTGCAGGACACACTCACTGTCATCATATGGGACGTGGGCTGATTTACTGATGTTAGAGACTAAGACTGAAGTATTAAACTTGACAGCAGTTATTATTTTTCATGTTCGGACAGCATTATACCTTGTGAAGGTCAAATGACAAGGGGAATGTACCTCGTATTTTAATTGATAAGAATGTCAGAAACAGCACATGGATGGATTTATAACAGGTGTTTTTGAAAAGAGGTAAGGTCATGTCAGGAGAAAGATGAAGGTCAGATGAGTTTATGAGAGGAGAGAGCATGTTTTAATGGGTAGAAAAAAAGAGATGAGCGTGTAGGATTGTAATAGTTTATGGCAGGAATATTAATCTGCCAGAATAACAAGTACTGTAAAAGCATTTCATTAACTTCTTAAATGTGGCTGTACTTTTGTCAGACTCCTTTAAAAAAAATAGCTGTAGTTTTATAATAAATAGATTTGATTTATAGAAATTGGGTGAATCTCGCAATTAAGTGTCCAGGTCGTTACAATTAATAATTGTTTTAAATGGTTTTAATTGTTAACTTAATTTTTTTTTAACTGAACCTTATTATAAATTCTTACCATGTCTTAATACCAATTAAAAAAATTATTAAGATATTAATTAAAAATATTTTCATTATAATTCAAAGAACATTTTCCCTAAAAATGTTAACATTAATAACATTCTCATTTGAAATACTTAATAAAATGTCATTACTGTAGTGCAGTGATGTTTTACAATTTAAAGGCACTATATGTAGAGTTCAGAAACTCATATTAATCAAATGTTCTGCTACAGTACATTTCATCAGTCTGTTCACATATTGGCAAAAATAAGTGATCACATAAATAAAATCTGACCTCTATCCACTTTAAACAAAATGTATATTTGTTTTATTTTACAATTGCCTTGTGGTAATGTAAATTATATTCAATAAAGGCATTTAACGGGCATGAAAATAACGACCCAAATAGTCTTGCTCTTCTTAAATTGTAATTGATTATATAATAAGAACAATTTATTTTATTTTGATTTGAACAATTACTTGGACACAATTATGGAGGTTCTGTGAGATTCAGTCAGCTAGGATGCATTTTTGTTGGGAGCTGAGCTGTCTGATGCAAAAACACTGTACATGATTGACTTTGTGAAATCTGGCTGAGCAATATTCAGGTCCACCTTTGAGTACACAGATTGACCGAAACAAAATTGTTTCCTTTTATACACAGGGTAATTTTTATTCCAGTGTTTTTCTGTAATCAATGTGTAGGAAGTGACCTTGATGTGGCTTAGGGTTTCCTCTTATACATGCTGTGCAATTACTACGCATCAAATCTGAACGGACTATCTGTTTATTTTGCACTTAATGCAAATTCATGTTATTATTTTTTTCCTTGTGATTATTAGATTTCATTTTTAACCAAAGTGGTTTACTATATTTTCTTCTATTTATTGTCATCAGAGATTGTCAAATAAAATTCACTTTACAAATCTATCAGTCTTGATTGTTATTTAAAAAAAATAGAATAAATCAATAATAATAATAACAGGGCAGCACAGTGGTACAGTGGGTAGCACGTTCACCTCACAGCAAAAAGGCCGCTGGTTCGAGCCTCGGCTGGGTCAGTTGGCGTTTCTGTGTGGAGTTTGCATGTTCTGCCCATGTTTGCGTGGGTTTCCTCCGGGTGCTCCGGTTTCCCCCAAAAGTCCAAAGACTTGCGGTACAGGTGAATTGGGTAAGCTAAATTATCCTAAGTGTATGTGTGTGAATGAGTGTGTAAGGATGTTTCCCAGTGATGGGAAGGGCATCCACTGTGTAAAACATGTGCTGGATAAGTTGGTGGTTTATTCCGCTGTGGCAACCCCAGATTAATAAAGGGACTGAGCCGAAAAGAGAATGAATGAATAGTTGACATTTTTAAATGATAAAAAAAATACTTCTGATTAAGACAATAATCATTGTAGCACTGATAATACCACTACCACTACTACTAGTAATAATAATAATAATAATTAATATTTCTGGGCGTCACGGTGGCACAGTGGCTACCGTTGCCTCACAGCAAGAAGGTTGCTGGTTTGAGCGCCGGTTGGGTCAGTTGGCATGTCTGTGTGAAGTTTGCATGTTTTCCCCGTGTTAGTGTGAGTTTCCCCCAGGTGCTCCGGTTTCCCCCACAGTCCAAAGACATGTGCTATAGGTTAATTGGGTAAGCTACTGTAAATTGTCCGTAGTGTATGTTTGTGAATGTAAGGGTGATTCCCAGTGCTGGGTTGCAACTGGAAGGGCATCTCGCTGCGTAAAATATGCTGGATTAGGTGGCGGTTCATTCTGCTGTGACGACCCCTGATTAATAAAGGGACTAAGTCACAAAAAAAAATGAATGAATGAATGAATTATTATTTCTGGAATGGTTTTAATAATAGTATTTTTTGCATTATCAGTGATGTTTTTCTTTTGGCTGTTGTCATTAAAGCAGGTTCACTCGAAAAAGGACAATTCTGTCATCATCTACTCACTCTATACTTTTTAAAAATCTTTATGAGTTTCTTTTTTTTCTGTTGAACACAAGAAGAAAACCTGTTCTTCCGGAAACCTGTAACTATTGACTTGGATAGTATATGTTTTTACCACTGTGGAAGTCAATGGTTACAGCTTTTCAGCTTTCTTCAGAATATCTTATTTTGAATTTATTAGAAGAATGAGACTCACAAAGGATTGGAACCACTTGGGTAAATAAATAGTAAGTCAATTTAGATTTTTGAGTGAACTATCCCTTTAAATAGACCTTTTATTTTATTAGCGACCCCTGGTGGCTGCTTATTTTGAATAGTAAACTAGCATAAAATCCATAAACCTTCTGTTATAATGAAAGTAATTTAAATGAATCTCATAAAAAATAAATAGACCATTTTGCGTTTGTTTAATGGTCATTTCTGTACATCTTAAAACACTGCGAACTCAGTGTTATTCAAGGACAACCCTATGATGAGATTCCACTTTAACCAAACGCGAACTGCGTGTCCCTCCTCAGCCGCCGTTCAGGGATTAAACTGTCAAAGCGACTAAAACATCAAGTGCAACACAGCAAGTATGCCAAATAATTCCCGCTTCTCACCCCAGACAAGAGCACGTACTCTCTAAAACCGTCAAGGATCTTCACGGTCAGCCTGTTCAGTTGTTTCTGAGTCTGAATATCGTTGAACTAGTCGCAGAGGCCCAGTGTGTGTCTGTGTGTGTGTGTTTGGCGATGATGGATTCGTGGGTGAGATTCAGCGCGCAGAGTCAAGCCAAAGAGCGCGTGTTCAGGTACACAAACACACACTGCACTCCTGCACACATGCAGCACTGGTTTACAGAGGCAATAGAGCTACGTTGAAATTGTAGCCTACAGCGTGTAGCAAATATGCAGCTATTGATTTTTGTGTTATGTTCATTTACATCTGTGTAGCATGTCAATATGGTTAATGGCGATACTATTGTAGTTAATCAAGTCTCCTGTAACGTTACTTTGTTAAAATCACTAGCTCGTATACATTATTTAAGGCTAGTCACTGCAGGCGAATAGAGTAAAAAAACTAATAGTTATCTCCATATTTCCCTAGTTGATTATTTATTTTTTTTGTATTACAGCAATTTTATATAGTTGTTTAGATTATAATTACTTGATCTATTATACACTCGCTTAAATTTCCAGCACTACAATGTAAACACTGGGCGATGTTCTGGTAATTTTTTTTACATAGTAGAAGTTTATTCAGAAGAGTTTTTTTGTTTTGTTTTAAAAAATACTCTGAACAGACAGAAAATTACACTTTTCCATATTTTTGTGGAATAACATTTTGTTTATAATCTGACAATTTTTTCTAAAAAAACATCAGAATGTAGATATAATTCAAATTTGGTGTAAGCTCTGCTGAAGTATTCACAGAATATATTAAGTTTTAAAATATGGGTTTTAATGGACATCTACAGATGTTACCTTGCCGGTCCTACACCACCCAACCTGATCTGAGCAGGGATCGAACCGGCGACTCTATGTGTGTGAGTCGGTTGCTCTAACAAGGAGGCTAAAGATCATGGCCTCTAGTGCTTGTCCCTAAAGCACCTTTAGAGGTCAGAGGAATGAGGTTTACCTGCACAGCATTTCACTAGCTGGCCTCCGCTACACTCAGCCCCCTAAACCTCATTCCCATCTGGGTCACGGCACCCAAAGTAACCCCTCTGGTCCTACACTACTTAATCTGCTCTGAGCTGGGATCGAACTGCTGATTCTTTGCATGGGAGTTGGTTGCTCTAACAAAGACACTAAAGACCATGACCTCCAACGTCTGTCGCTAGAACACCTTTTGAGGTCAGAGGAGTGAAGTGTACCTGCACAGCATTTCACTAGCTGGCCTCCGCTACACAGACACAAATTGGTCATTTGTAATAAAAAAAACACTTAAAGGTATAGTTCATCCAAAAATGTAAATTCTGTCATTGTTTACGTACCCTGCCCTTGCTCCAAACCTATTGGAGTTTTCGTATGTTACAAATGTTACAGTTATGTTTCTTATGTGACAGATAAGATGATATTGTGAAGAATTTTTAAATTCTTACTACAGATGTTTTCTTACTACAGATGTTACTGGCATCCGGTTTCCAACATTTAAAGAAATATATCTTGTTTTGTGTTCAATTTTTGGGTAAATTATCCCTTTAATATTGTGCATTTTGGAGATTTTTATTCTATTTAACTGAAAAAGGAAAACATAAATGTTAAAAATGACAGATGCATGGCAGAACTGTATTTTTTTTGCCTAAATGTCAAGAATCCTAATAAAAAAGCCGATTACTGATAAATCTTAATGTTTACATGGAAAAAAAATCACCTTTTTTTTGAGTGCACATGCCACTTGCTTTTACGGTCTTCTAATCTAATGCAGAGAAACTGTCTAATGCAGGATGCATCTGTCCAAATCCTTTAAATGCAGTTAATTGTGTAACTGATTGTGTGTTAAACAGGGCTGCTCAGTACGCCTGCACACTGCTGGGATACACACTGCAGAGAGGAGGAGCGAGAGCAGAGCTGCTGAACACCATCAAACAGCTGGAAGCTCACATGAGCCTCACCAGAAAATGTACGTTACAATTAAAAACAGGATACTGAATTGTAATAACAGGAAAGAAATGTACTGAATTGAAATATAATGAAATTCACACATTAGTTCCAATTTAAATGATAGATCTTTATAAAATATATTTGACTTTTTCTTCTTTTTTTTTAAATGGCTAACTTAAAGTGCTAAAAAGTTTTTTGGGAAAAATGTATTTTTTAAATGTACTTTATGGTATGTTGCCATAGTCCAACTTGGAAATGTCAAATTTAAACTTTCCTTATAATTAATAATTTTGATGTTTGAAATGATTTAATTCGTGTTACAGTATTATAAGCTTTAACACAGAACTTATAAATGACACCTTATATATACTTTCAACAACTGATATTCCAACAGCTTTAATTCCAGTCTTTTTTAATGAATTGTCTTAAAAAGCTAATATTGTATTGTCATGTATACAACATACAGTAAATAAACATTTTCTCCAGTAAACATTATAACAAACAAATAAGTCTAGTATATCCAGTATATATCCAGATACATCAGAATAATGTAGCTTCTAGCTAACAATGTTTATGTATTACTTTATAAACTTTACTACGCCTGTCTTGTATACCTCAGAGCTAAATTAAAGTGTCTGCATCACTGCTCTCTTCGCTGCAAATGTCCAGTCTGCATCATTCTCATGTTCACTAAAACCCACCTCACTTTCATCTGCAGGAAGAGCCAGTTCTGTCCTGTTCTTCTTTCACTTGCATTAAAACATGGTGGTGCTCGCTAATACAATGTTCCCTGTATTCATATCTATTCAAAAGTAGTATTGCCATTAAAACTAGGTTTTACAATATATTACTAGCATTCATGTTGTTATTGTTACAACTTAAAAGTTCACAGCTGACCTTGCTAGCTAGCTAACTCATTGCAATATTGCACGTTCTACTATTGTACAGTGTTGCCATTTGGAAACACATACATTTAAACGATTTACAGAAAACTTAATAAAAAAAAAAAAGAATGAATATGATGAACGAATGAATATGTCATCATAACTTACTGGAGGTGATGTTTCAGATTTTTTTTATGGATCTGACATGAGTTGTTGTTTATTGATGTTTACATTTGCATTCAGCAATACTCGCAATAAACGCCAGTCTGTGAGAAATCATGCCACAGAAAAACACTGCATGTCATGTGGCTTAACCAAAGCACATCATTGGCTACACTAAGGTCTTCTCTTTCCAAAAAAAAAACTTTAATATTGGTCTTAAAGAAACAATGGCAGGGAAATTAAAGCAAATATCATGTCTTTGGCAACACCATGCAGTATATATAATAAAATATCCATCATAAGCACAGCAAAGCTGTACATATTAGGGTAAAAATACGATAAAAAGTAGCTGGTACACTATATTCATCATTATAAAGCTGTTTTAGTTTGAATTTTTTTTTTCTTTGTTTGATATATAATACAGTTTTATTGTGTACTGATATTACTGTATGTCTAATACAGTGGCTTTCTTCTAGTTTCCCCTTAAGTCCAAAAACATGCGGTATAGGTGAATTTGGTAGGCTAAATTGTCCGTAGTGCATGAGTGTGAATAATTGTGTTTGAATGTTTCCTAGTAATGGTGGGTTGCAGGCGAAAGGGCATCTGCTGCGTAAAACTTGCTATATAAGTTGGCGGTTCATTCCGCTGTAGCGACCCCAGATTAATAAAGGGACTAGCCCGAAAAGAAAATGAATGAATGAATGAATGAATGAATGTCGAATAATTGTATGGCATGAAATGATGTTCTCACACAGTAGAGCTTCTATATATGGTACAGAAAATATTTTTTTTATATTTACAAACTTTGTTGTCTCACTGATATAGCTTAAAATAAGTGCTGGTTTATTTTTATACAGATATTTATTTGAATGGTCTGTTATAAAAATGTGAAATTTCATGACATGCTCAAAATGTCATATATTTAAAAAAAATGTATGTGAAATTGTTGAATCTTTTCACCCCACATTGTTCTCCAATGTAAGTTTCATATAAGCAACTACAGTGCATACTACAGTACATACAGTATGCCTCCTAAAAACTCACAAATTTGATTTGTGATCATACACATCCTCAATGTTAATATGCCTCAGTGTTTGAGTGCGTTTTGTGTGTTTTTGTCAGTGATGTGGTTGGGAAACTCAGCTGAAGCTCTGGAAGCCGCCAAACGCACTGTTCATCTGTCAGACTGTGTGTTGCGTCTCTGCATCACAGTGGCTCATTTGAACAGAGCCATGTATTTTGCCTGTGATAATGTACTGTGGGCCGGAAAAACAGGACTGCTGCCTGAACTGGACCAAAACAAATGGAGCCAGAGATCATTTAGGTGTGTTTTTTTTTTTTGTCTACTTTAAACCTGTTCCTTTTATTAAGTGAATAATTTAGTTTAAAAATGTTATAACCAGACATTAACTTGACATTTGATGTTTATTTTGTATTAGTATTTTTAATGAGTAAATAGTTTCTATATTTAATTTAGGTTTTAAATAAGACATGTAATTTTGGCATTTTCATCTAATACAATTTAGAAAGCATAAATGCAAGTAAAGTGTATCATTTTTAAGTTTTTTTATTATTATTATTTTAAAATGTAGGTCAAATAATGATTTGATGAGATTGCAAACTGAACAACAAAATATGCTGAAATGGACTCAAATCATCTTACTAAAGTTTTATTATATTTTTAATTATTAAAGTCTTGCTGTCAAATGGATAAAACTTAAAGTATAAGTATAGAAAGATAAAGTATAAAGATTTAAAAATACAATTCATTTGTGTTTTGTAGCTTAAATTGTCTTTTTTAAATCAACTACACTAAAAGTCTTTAAATATAATGCCATCAGTTAATTTTAGTTTATATGTCTTCCAAAATTTTAATATGTCATGCAGGCAGTATATATAAAGTAGATCAATAACAATAATTTAGTATGAGATTTATTTAGATTACTTTTATAATAAATGAAGATTGATGATTTTTCTGCTAATTTAAACGACTATAAAAGCAGCCACCAGGGGTCGCCAATAAATTAAAATGTAAATTTAAAGGGATAGTTCACCCAAAATGAAAACTGACAGTATTTGTTAGGGGTGTAACGGATCACAACCCACAGTTCGGATTACACGTGACCCCCAGATAATTTTTTTTTTAACCTATAGGTTAATTTGATATTCATAATGATTGCACAGAGATCACCTCACACGTCATTCAAATCAGTGTATGAAAGCATTTTGACTTCCCTGTAATATATAATGATGACAAAAAGTTGTGATGGGACCCACCTAAATGCTTTCTTAGGTTATCTATTAAATATGTGTTTTTTTGTCACTGTTTGTTTAGCCTAGGCTAATGCATTCAGTGTAAGCTGCACAATTAAACATTAGAAGATTGTGATCTCAATTCAAACCCGCGCAACATGAATGATAAATGATAATGATTTGCATATGTTTATTAATCCTTCAAAGCAATGCGTTCAAATCTGCATATTATCGAGAGAGATGCAGTTTTTACACTTTTTGTCAGTTTGTCACAAACAATTAAAAAGCACAGAAGAACTGGGAGAACAGTTTATAGTCCAGATATAAACACTGATATTTATGGTAAAGATTAAAATCAACATTTAATGGAACTTGACGCTGGTGAATGTTGTAGCAATTGCATTGTGCAACCAACCATCCAAATGATGTCACTGAATAGGTTTTCAAAAAACGATCCAAAACATAAAGTTTAATGTGAAAATTGTTGAATCATTCATTGAAAATAAATATGTTGTACGAGATGTTAGATTTCTATAATTATCATTATCAGAAACAGTAGCAAAGATCATTTTTCGTATTGAATATTTTCCTTTTTTTTTAGCTGGTTCTTTTTTTATTTTTATTTGATTTAAAAACAGGTTCTAAGTTCTATTTTTTAAAAACCAATGGTTGTTGCAGTAATATTTTTGTATTAACGGAAAGAAAATGACGTTGGTTGTCTCCTTTTTTGCTGATCCGAAAAATGGTCCGATCCGTGACTCAAAAACTGTAGTGTGATCTGAACTGTGGAATTTGTGATTTGTTACACCACAACTATTTACCTGCACCTTTAGGTTCTAGATTGCATTTATTTAAACATTTTAAGCGTTATGAGATTCTCAATGCAATAAATTGACTTTCTCCCTCTGTAAACAGATACTATTTGTTCGCACTCATCCTCAACCTAACACGAGATGCATATGAAATCCGTCTCCTGATGGAGAGAGAGTCACGCGGCGGTTCAGCGAAAAGCTTTACCTCCAGTCCGTCTCCCCTCACGCCGACCCCAGAAAACGGAGAGTTCCCTTCAATCGTGTCTCCATCCTCAGGGCTGTCTCCACTGCCACCAATCCCTGTGCTTTCTGCCAGACTCAACAAACAGGTCCATTTGCTGATCACAGTCCTGCGCAACAACCCTCCGCTACTCCTGGACCTTCTGAAGAACATGTGTGACATCTTCATCCCACTCGATAGGCTGGGTCTGTACCAAACGGGGTCGGGATTTGTGGGGGCCTGCGGTCTGACATCCTCTATTCTGTCCATTCTCACTATAGTCCATCCCTGGCTCAAACTCAAGCCCTGAACTACATTTCTTGTGTTGTGTAGTAGATAGTGGAAAGGAGAATGTTTGCTCTCAGTTTAGTTGCACATTGAAAGCAGTCTGTTCTGTGTGTGGAAAAACTAAAAACCTGATCTGGTTTTATCTGAATAAAAACAAACAATAAAAGCAGTGTTTGGGAGTAATTTAAAGGAGGAGTTCAACTAAAAATGAAAATTTGCCATCATAGATGTTCATGCCTTTTTTTTTTTTTGTTTAGACAAACACAATTTTTTCCTTGTATTAAATAATAGCTGAGCTCTTCACAGCCATGTAATGGCAGTGAATGGTGCCCGAGATTTTTAAACTTCAAAAAGTGCATTTATCAATCTTAAAGGTAATACATATGACTCTAGACTCCAGTTTATCAATCCCTGAAGCAAAACTATTTGTTTTTTGTCAGAATACTGTCCATATTTAAAGGTTTATTAACTGTTATTAGTTTTAAAGGGATAGTTCACCCAAAAATGTAAATTTACCCACCATTTACTTGCTCTCGATTGGATTCAAAGTTTTGAGTTTCCGTTGAACACAAAAGAATATATTTTGAAACATGTCAGAAGCTGGTAGCCATTGAAATTCAAACTAAGACAAAAATGCTATGAAAGTTAATAGACGCCGGTTTCTGACATTCTTCAAAATATCTTCTTTTGTGTTTAACAGAAAAAGGAGATCAAAGTCAAAGAGGTTTTGAACAAGTGGAGGGTGAAAAAATTATGACAGAATTGACAATTTTTGGGGTGAGCTATGCCATAAAGGCATATACTAGTTACCCTATAACAAAGACAACTCACTCCAAAAAATTCATCTGTTGTAAACTTATTCCTTCAGTACATTGTGTATTGTAACACAGATATGCAAGTGATTTGTATTTTTTTAATCATTGACTTTAAAAAGCATTTACTAACCCACTAGAATCATGTAACATGTATTACTTTTTTGAAAGATGGATGCACCATTCACTGCATACCAAAAGTGTTAGCCAGGATATTGATTATATTTGATTATGATTGTCTGAAAAAAATAAGGCATGTCTGTCTAGGATGGATTGAGTCCGATTAATTTATGGCATGATTCTCATTTTTGCTTGATTTGTTCATTAACATCTGTTTAAATCTCTCTATATAAATTTGTATTTTTAAGTATGGAGATTGTTCTAGTGCTCTTGCAATTAAGCACAGAACTGAACATGGTGGAACCATAATTCCCTCTCTCAAGGGTGAATCTCATTAAGGAATGTGAGGATTTTACTCCAAAACAATGAAAAATCTGTGTGAATTATAATAGTTTGAGCTTGAAACAGTTGCAGTCATTATTGTTAAATGACACTGACCAGTTCAGGTAGGTTTACTGTTAAAAATCCATGATACAGTATATTCTAAATCGTTTTCTGTGAATTGTCCTTTAATTCCTTCATTTGTAAACTCTTGCAATTTGTTAACAAATTGATTTCATATCTACTGGTAAGATCATTTGTTTGAGTTTGTGATTAACAGACTGTCAACCAAAATTGTTTTGGAAAATTGTAAACTATCGTTGTTACTGACTCTTTTTGCTTAATTTATCTCATAGCTGAACTGTTTTAATGCAGATTTTATAATGCAGAAAATATGTATGTATATGTAGACTTTTATGGAACTTAACAATATTTTGCAACTTCTGAATATTAATGCTATGCATCATGGGTTAATGAATGGTGACATGATGGAATCTATGAATATGTAGAATCTAACATGTGAATCTAACTTTTAAAATAAATAATACCTTGAATAATTTTTTTCTCCACCTTGATTTTTTTTACTGTTTTTTTTGTGCAGAAAGGGAATAAAGTTCACAGTTCCTAGAACATTCTGTGGGGAATCAGATCTGTTATTTAAAGTTCATCATTTTTAATCGGAAGTAACTGTTTTTGGTGACAACTTTGTCAATGCTGTTGTTTCAACCACTAGATGGAGACAAATCTTTTCATTGGCTTGTCAAAATTCAAAATTTAATCAATAAAACATAGGCTGTAGTATCTATTTTCATGCTACTAATTCTTATATCATCGCTGCTAAGTACTATTAAGTACTATTCATTAACTACGTATGGTTATTTATCAGGTAGTACCATTCATTCATTTCAAAGGTTGCCACAGTGGAATGAACTGCCATCTATTCTAGCATATGTTTTGCGCATCAGATGCCCTTCCAGCTGCAACCCAGTACTGGAAAACAGCCATATGTGCTCACTCACTCACTCATAAACTATGGCCAATTTAGTTTGCTAGTACCATTTTAAAACTTAAAACTAAGTATAACACTAGTTCTTATTATTGGGTACTAACACTGATTCCTTAGATAGTATCTGTTCAATAGATAATATCATGTGGCTCGAATAGCTGAATTTAAAATAGCTGAATTTAATAACTATTGGTATCTAATAATACACAACACACTCTCTGATTGATAAATGAATCTATCTATTGAATAGTTATACGTCTAGTATTCTAATAAATGATAAATAGTGTCTGATTGCATAAGAATAGGCAGGCCAACATAAAAATATATTATTTAGACGTTTTCCCAGAGATGGGTTGCAGCTGGAAGGGCAGCCGCTGCATAAAAATGTGCTGGATAAGTTATCGGTTCATTCAGCTGTGGTGACCCCGTATTAATAAAGGGAATAAGCTGAAAAGAAAATTAATGAAAGAATATTTAGACTTTAAAGCAGCTTGCCATAGGCAGTATCCCAATATTAAGACAAGTTTATATGTTTTATATAAGAGAACAGTTCAGGTCCTCAAATAGGCTGTAGCCTACTACAGTTTAGTTAATAAGTAATAAGCTATAAATATTGCTAAATTAGAGATCAAATGTAAAAATTGTAATAAAACACGACTAGACGTTGACAGTACGTTTAACAACTCTTAAATACACAGTAAAAAGCTGGACCAAATGCCTCCACTAGTAGCTTACCAGAGCAATGGTGTAGTGACTGTTTTCACCAGCGGATGGCGCTGCGAGATACACTGATTTCTGGCTCTAGCACCATTTAACCCTGAAGAACTGATTTGAACCTGAACGACCTGAAGGAGAGCCGTCTGCTGTTGCTGTGGGTTAACCAAACATGTCGGTTTCAAGGTAATCACTTTATTAACCATTTATGTTAAACAGATTAGTACATTAGGTCTATTGTTTGTTTGTATAACGAGGGCTGAAGAACATTTGGCAGGATTAAAACGGAATAACGTTATTTTACCATAACGTTGTTTGCTGGCAAGAGCACACACTTGCATAATGTAAACAAATAATAAGTATTCATCTACGAAATAACTGCAGTTACATTTGCATACATGATTTATGCTCAAAACAGCCTTAAATTGTAAGAATAGGTATGTTTGGAAATAGTAGACATTTTTACATCAATATAATAACCCTAATACTTGCATAAATATTAATTTATTAATTTTTCTTTGGCTTAGTCCCTTATTTATCATGGGTCAGCACAGCAGAATGAACCGGCATCCAGCACAGATTTAAGCAGCAGATGCCCTTTCAGCCGCAACCCACTACTAGTAAACACCCACACACTCTTACGTTCACATATGCACTCAAACACTATGGCCAATTTTAGTTTTTACCCAATTTACCTATAATTGCAAGTCTTTGGACTGCGGGGGAAACTAAAGCACCCAGAGGAAACCCACGGCAACACGACAGTACCTGCAAACTTCACATAGAAATGCCAACTGGCCCTGCCAAGACTTGAACCAGCAATCTTCTTGCTGAGAGGCGACAGTTCTAACCACTGAGCAACCATGCTGCCCTTGCATTAAAATTAAATTTTTTTAAATAAAGTTACTTACAATTTGTGAAAGCTAAAATGATAAACACATTTAATGTAGTAACCATGCTTTTGGCATATTGAGTTTTACTGCAAATGACATGATTAAGCTATGATCAGAGTAGCAAAATCATGGTTAATTTGTTTTCAATTGCTATAAAGCCGTTTTATTTTTTGGGGAGGGTGATGGGGTTATTTGTAGTAAAATTATGGTTAGTTTACTTAAAGACAATTCTACCGTTTTGTTCTGTTTGCTGTTTATTTTAGTCATTATTTACCCTTTTTCATTACAAAAACATTCATTAAATCATTAACATAAAAAACATAATCTTAAAAACAAAAACAGAGATTCCAGTGATATTATGATCATTGGCTTTGGTAATATCTCACATATCAATTCAGAAATATGTTTAATCATTTAATCATTTTATTATAAGTAAAACAATAAAAACTCAAAAATCATCCTAAACTGATGCATGGCCCTAATGGTTGTTTGTGTTTTAGTGGCACAGATTGCCAGCACATTCCCTCCTGCAGTGAATGTGTGGCGGTGCGGGTCTGTCCTCCTACTCTCTCATTACACTTGCATCACACTGATTCACATGCTCTGTGTCACTCCCACATGGGTGCATGTGTTTGCATTGCCCCCAACCCTCTCTTTCTCCATCAGGATCAAAATCACTGCTAATTAGCACGTAGATGTTTGCTTTACTGGATTAGACAGCATGTGGGTTATTCGCATTTATTTGTATCGTGCTTTTCAGGATACATATAATTTCAAAGCAGCGTTACAGAAAAAAAATTGTGAACATGCTTTACAATTAAGAGTAATTTGGTTATTGTGTCATGATGATTGAACATGATGATTGTAATTAAAGCAATGATTACGTTCTGTGATCAAGATTACAATGTAAGGACAATAAATTTGAGGTGTCCTAAGTTTATTTAGAGTTGGCGTCATATCACAGGTGTTCAGCTCATCTGAAATCTTCATAACAGTGGAGGCTAAATCCAAATTGAGAGTCTAATCTTTGGTTACCTCAGGGTGGATATCTCAAGGTTGAAACAGAAAGCAAATGGAGAAAGAGCTGCCTTTCATAACATTTCAGGAAAGTACAAACATTTAGGGCCCTATCATAGACCCGGCGCAGTGTAGCGCAAGACACGGCGCAATAGTCTTTTTAGACCAAAACTAACCCGGTCTAAACTCCGCAGAGTTGCGCCTCTCTTACGCACTGCTTAATACGCATTAGAGAGCAATAGGCAAATATCTTTACATATGAAA